CTTTGTATGTATGGATCACTTGGGTTGTTACCGACATCTGGTGAAAATTTCATGTCATTAGCACCTCTAGTAATATATTTACTGAGAAAAATGTTGACGTTTTCAATACTTATTTTACCCGGGGTGCAACGATACAGAAAATTCATGATTCGGTTCAGTTCAATACTTGAGTCTCACTGTAATGTATCCAAATTTCTATTTGTGTTCTGGATGTGACAGATTTAGAATCAACATCATAGTTCTATCATGCAAAACATATTTGGGTAAATAAAAAGTTTTATTTTTTAGAGTTTGGCATACTGTTCATTGCAATCTAGGATTGCAGGGAATTCAGATAAAATATTAATTTTACTGTGCCACCTTTTAGTTCATGCCTCCCCTCCCCCGCCCCTGCCACCCAATAAAAAATATCTAGACACACCCCTGGCTCACTGCAGAGACACTTAATATAATATTAAATTATGGATAGATGAATTATTTTAATGAAACATAATAAAACTATTTAAAAATATTCATTGGATGTACGTCTACAACTAACCAACTTTTAAAGTCAACCCAATTCAAGATGGCTGCCACAGCCAATTGACCATACAAAACACAAAAATAATCATAACTCAAATCATTTTACACATATTGAGCTAAAATTTAACATAATTGTATCTGAGACTCATTCACAGCACATAAGAGTCTAAAATCCTGGCATGAAAGGTGGCGCGTTCAATGATTGTTGGGCCTTTTATTGTGTTTTATTGGGTTTTTACTGCCAGACCAGTTTTATTTTACTAATAGAGTTGTAATTAACCACTTGGCTCCTCGGCCTTTGAGTCTGCATTTTGGGTCCTCACCTCTGCACACATAACTGCCTCATTCTGAAGAGAAAAACTGCTACCATTTCTAAATAGCTCTGCTGATTTAATGCTTATTTGCAAGAGAAATATCAGCATTATTAGGACTTCATTGCTTTAGCTATGACTAAATACTCTTCTATCATTCACCTCTGAGGCACAGGAGATTTTAAATATTTTAACTTTTTGTGAGGCAACAAAGAGATTCTCTCTGTGTTATTTTCAAATTTGTGTGTTTTTATATTAAAAAGGTGATACAAAGAGACACAATGACTGGCATTAGTGATGTAGATGTGCAAGAGAGAACCGCCTCTTTACAAAGTCGACACCCACATCAAGGTTTTATATTTATATGTATAATGGACTTTGTTTCTTTCTCTTTGCCTGATTTCTGCTGGAAGATTCACAGCTTTGTTCTTCTCTAGAGTCTGATCAAGTATTTTACAATAAAAATGTCCACAGCTGGAAAGGTAAGAACAACTACGCATTTTACAGCAAACATTTGGCTCTGCATCGTGTAAAAGACTGTGTTTGTGTAGAGTTTTACACTGAAAACAAAATCATTTTCCTGCAGTGAAATGTATAATAGTTGCACAGCAGCTCCACGTTGTAAGTTATTTTTCTGTAACAGACTCTCTGAGCCCCCCACCACTTTTTCCCCTCAGTGTTTGTTTTTTGGATCAGGCACAGTTTAAATGTTTCCTGCATGTTTTCCTCAAACCACATTGTGTGATAATAGGGATGAAAGTCTAGTATAATAGTGTAAGTCTAAACTGTTGGTTTAGAAATGATCTCTTCCTTGATTTTGCAATTTAATGTTGCAGCAATAAAAGTTGTTTCCAAAGAGACAAAATTCTTATTCTTTCCTCCAAGACTTTTCTTTCACACCGTCCTCATTAGTAGCAATAAAAGTTCCAGCTGGTTATGTATTTAAAAAAACCTTGTGCCAGAATATATGTTTTGTTTCTCATATCTAATTAAAACAATTGTAAACTTCTCAGCATTGATGTGTCCAGAGGGTCTTCTGTCCTGCACAGATGTTTTCTACCTGATAAATGAAGAAATTATCTCCTCAGCTTGTTATCAAGTCTGTCAAAACCCTGGTAATGATTCATAAGATTAAACCAGCTGCGTTAGAAGAGGGAATATTTACAACAGTGCCTCCATGAGCAGGGTTGGGAATCAKGGTCAATTTATTCTGTTTGTGCTTTCATTTTTTTATGAAGGGCACAGAGGTTAGAGCAGGTTAACCTAAAGACTGCTACTTTGAATCCACTGTTATATCAATAAACATGTTGATATGAGAGRTGAAGCAACCACACATTCCTCTGCCCTCATTTGCTCTAATCARGGCCCTTAACCCCGCCCCCAAGCTTCCCTACATGGAGGTGTGAGCTGTAGTAGYTCAGTGGTCAGTGGGTGCCTCCATCTGGACATTTCAGTATAACCTATAAAAACAGTGGCAATTTCAATGACATAAAGATTTATATATGGTGGGGGTGGGTCTCCTCTTTTTAGGTCATCAAATGTAAGGCAGCAGTGGCCTGGGAGCCCAACAAGCCTCTGGTGATTGAAGAGATTGAAGTGGCCCCACCAGAGGCCAACGAGGTCCGCATTAAGGTAAGAAAAGCCAACCTCAAAGATCTACTGGTGTGCTATTTCAAATGAAAAAGAAAATAAATGGAGTTTATTGCATCTAAAGATTGTAGATTAAGAGTGTGGACATAGCTTGTTTTCCAGATCAACACTGTTTTTATTTCCTGGCTGCTGTTTTTCTCAGATTGTAGCAACAGGACTGTGCCACACTGAGTTGTACCACCTTTACGAGGGGATGCCTAAAGATGGCTTCCCAACCGTCCTTGGCCAYGAAGGTGCTGGCATTGTGGAAAGTGTCGGACCTGGAGTCACAGAGTTTCAACCAGGTCTGTTCCAAACTTTACTACAAACAGAATGTTCAGACTTCTCATTGTAACTGATGATTTAGGTTTCTCAAATAATGGCATTTAGCTTGTTGCAGCAATGAAATTCAATAAAACACAACCAGTTCAATGATACGTCAATATATCGTTGAAAATTTTAGGTTTGCTTGCAACCCCTTTTTGGATAAGTGAACGCAACAAATCCCATAAATAAGGTTTACAGTGAAACATGGAAAATAAAACCACAAACTGGAGCTCAGTACTCCACAATCTGACTGATTTTATCTGCAAACATGAAATTTGGTACACATATCCTTCCCCCTTTCAAAGCACATGCCACTGGYCATGCAAAAAAATCAATATGGCGACCATTTTTAAAGATGGCTGACTAAAATTATTTGCACATTTCAATATGGAATACAACTTTCGGATGACCAAGACCTAGCCCGATCATCCATCCAGTGCCATTTAAGTCCTGTGTGATCTGTACACCATGGTAAGTACATGAGCAAGACTTGTTAGTAAGACCCTCTTACCCTTGGCTYGACTCTCCTGCGCCGGCACACCCTGTCCATTCTGGTGCAGCTAACTATCTACTAACTACCGTCTACTAGCTAACGGATAGAATAGCAAAATAAGCTAACACTGAACCTCATGCTGAGTTGGACTGTAGCATTGTCACCAGTGTGCCCAGGTTGTGTGTTGACATCACTCCATTGCAATTGGTCCTTTAGCTATGTGAAATGGTTCCATTGGTTCTCCAATCCAAAAAATGTATGTGCACACCAAAAAATATAAATAAATCATTTGTCAGTAGTTGCTAAATAGGAACAATAGAAATTATTGGAGGCCATTAATTTAAATTGCTTTAGGACACGATCCTAAAATTCCAAGTTTAGACTATGATAGTAAATAAAACAGTGCTTCTCATAAACCTGGTTAGCAAGAAACAKTTTTCTCTTTCAAATGTTCACCGGGTTCTAATAAAAAAGTTACTTTAAGCAATATATGATACGGCACAGCAGCCATCTTAAAAAAATGACTGCCATCTTGGATTTTTGCATGGCCAGCAGTATTTCTGAAGAGTGGACCTTGAAGGACACATGTACCAAATGTCATGCTTGCGTCACGATTTGAATTATTCTTATGAAATAGAATAGAATAGAATAGAATAGAATAGAATAGAATAGAATAGAATAGAATAGAATAGCCTTTATTGTCCCGCAGAGGGGAAATTCAGGTGTCACAGAMGCATCCAAACAAAGGTTYACAGTTACTTTACAAACTATAGATAGCGCACACAAAACAAAAATTAACACTGACTAGCCATGAGACAACTACTACTAATAAAAAAATATATAAAGACTTGTGCAAGAATAGAAAGAGATATGTTTTGTTTTAGAGACAGTAGAAAATCAGAATCCGACATTAGGAATCAGAAATTATCTGTTTTCAGTGCAAAACAATCTCAACAGACCAATAACTGTAAAGTGAAGAATCACAATGCAGACAAGAAACACAGATGTGCAATTACAGCAGAGTAGTAGTGCAGATGATTGTTCAGTTGAGTAATGACAATGAATAGTAACAGTACAAATGATTGTGCAGCAGCACGTGTGTAAGAACTTACTGGGATTTTTGTGAACATTGTGAATTTTGGGCGTGGTGCTGGTTATAAAGTCTGACAGCTGCTGGGAGGAAGGGTCTGCAATAACACTCCTTTGTGCACCTCGGATGCAGCAGTCTGTCACTGAAGGAGCTCTCCAGTTCAACCACAGCTTCATGCATTGGGTGGGAGACGTTGTTCATCAATAATGTTATTTTAGTCAGAGTTCTTCTGTCTCCCACCACCTGCACGGTGTCGAGGGGGCATCCCAGCACAGAGCTGGCCTTCTTGATGAGCTTATCTAACCGCATCCTCTCAGCTGCAGTCAAGCTGCTGCTCCAGCTAACCCGCCTGTCTTCAGGAGTGCCCCCTGCACTCCAAAGGACCTCAGCCTCCTCAGCAGGTAGCATCTGCTCTGACCCTTCATGTAAAGAGCATCTGTGTTGTGAGTCCAGTTTAGTTTATTGTTCAGGTGAAAACCCATAAGAGTCCACTATCTCAATGTCCACTCCCTGGATGTTCACCTGTGTCAGTGGGGTGGGTCTCTGCCTGCGGAAGTCCACCACCAGCTCCTTGGTTTTAGCAGCGYTGATCAGGAGGTGGTTCTGCTGGCACCAGTCCACAAAGTCCTGAGTCCACTGTCTGTACTCTGAGTCGTCCTCACCCGTGATGAGGCCGACTATGGCAGAGTCATCAGAGAACTTCTGGAGGTGCCAGCCCGGGGTGTTGATGGTGAAGTCTGCAGTGTAGAGGGTACCAGCACTGTTCCCTGTGGAACCCCCGTACTGTAGTCCAGCGTGTCCGAGACACAGCCATGCAACTATGCGCTGCACTAATAATGAAGTTGTTTAAAATGTTTTTTAGGAGACAAGGTGATTCCTCTTTCCATCTCCCAGTGTAAAGAATGTCGCTTCTGCAAGAGTCCAAAGACCAACCAGTGTGAGTTAGCATGGTGAGCCCTATACTTCATTACTCTTCTTTCAGATTTTTTTAAAATCTGTATTACCAATTTAAAAAGATTATTAACTGTCTGACAGAACAAAAAATAATCATATTTTCTTTTTAAAATTTTTCTTGATTAGGAAAAGGGTTTGTCTGGAAACAATGAAGGGAATGGAAACCAGGTTCACCTGTAAAGGAAAAAAGATCTTCCAGTTTATTGGAACCAGTACCTTCTCTGAGTACACCGTCATTAATAAGATCGCTGTGGCTAAGATTGACCCTGCTGCTCCTCTGGACAAGGTCTGTCTCATCGGCTGTGGGATCTGCACCGGCTACGGAGCAGCAGTGAACACTGCTAAGGTGTGTGTGTAAAACAGGTTTTTGTCAACAGGGATTACAATGAAWTAAAAACCCCAGAATAAATAAATAAATAAATACAAGCATTTTAAACAACCTTCTTTCCCTTTATTTTAAAATGAAACTAGAATAATAAAAATAAAAGATTTATCTGAATTTGTTTTAAGTAATGGTACATAACTAACTAACTAACATTAGCGGGTAACTTAAACTTGTTATTGACATTTAAAATGTGTTGGCTCTAACCCAACCCATCATATTTTAGTTTTGTTTGTCTCAAAACTTCTGAGCTATCTGTGTGCCTCTCTCTGTCACTCAATGTGCTATTCTGCCCAGTAACAGGCTCGGCCAATCAGAGCATGTCAGAGGCAGGATTATGCAGAAATGTTTAGTTCAAACAACTAGTCRCTGTGCAAAAATTATAAGGTCTATTGAAACAACTTAAACTGTGAGTGAGTGAAGGGATTGGTACTTACTCTTGTAAATTTTCAACTTTTTGGAGCACTTTATGTCAGAGATATGATGAGTTAAAAACAGTCTTTGTTTTGTTTCTGAACCGGAGCGTGAGAAAAATTTAACATGGTGTAGAAAACGAGAACTGGCACCAGTCTGCCTTAAAAAGAAAACAGTTTGTCTTACAGCAAAACCAAAAATACTGTCTGAAAGAAGACAAAAATGCCTTTTGTCTTCATTTTGTCAGTGTATCATAAAAAAATTGTTGTAGGAAGAAGTTGTTTGCTAGATCATTTTAAGCCAGAGAGCTCTCCACACTAAATCACATGACCCAGAATGTGGCAGTTGTTTTTAGTGTTGACATTACCATTGTAACTCAAAACACTACAACCGAGCCAGATCTTTTGATATAAAATTTGTGGCCCTACATGAATGAAGGCAGACTGCTCTCTTATTCAATTGAAATGACAATCCCTAATTATAAAAGGACAACCACCAATGGTGGGAGGCACGTTTTTACTTGACTGCTTTTTTACTATGTTATAAAAACTAACTCAAATATGATCTCTGCTGGCAGATATGCTGTTAAATACTGAATCTGGCAAATTGAACCATGATACAAGAGAAACTGATGAATACACARCAATAACAAGATAGATAAATGTTTAATCAAAACAACACTCAAATCTTTCCTCCAACAAAAAGAGTTGATTCTGCCTGAAGTAAACGTGGGACTGTTGTACTTTAGGTGGAACCAGGCTCCACATGTGCTGTGTTTGGTCTGGGAGCTGTGGGCTTGGCTGCAGTCATGGGCTGCAAAGCTGCTGGAGCCAAAAGGATCATCGCTGTTGACATCAATCCAGAGAAAGCCGACAAGGCCAAAGTGCTTGGAGCCACCGACTACGTGAACCCCAAAGATCACAACAAACCCATCCATGAAGTGCTGGCTGAGATGACCAATGGTGGAGTGGACTTCTCTGTGGAATGTGTTGGGAGGGTGGACGTCATGGTGAGATTTGATGGCTTTTTGTACACATTTAAAAACTGAACCTTTAAGTTTGTTGTGTTTCTCCACACAGCGCAGTGCCTTGGAGTCTTGTTTGCCAGCTTGGGGTGTCTGTGTGATCGTTGGCTGGACAAAGAAGTTTGACGTCCCCATCAGACCACCTGACCTCATCGCTGGACGCACTTTGAAGGGCTCCTTGTTTGGAGGTGAAACAAACACAACAAAAAACAATTTTTTAACAGTTCTTTTGTCTTAATTTTACGTTCTTTTTTTTTTTTTCAAATGTCTCTCAGGGTTCAGAAGCAAAGATGGTGTTCCTCAGATGGTTAAAGCCTACATGGACAAGAAGCTGCAGCTGGATGAGTTCATCACTCACAACATGACTCTGGATCAAGTCAATGATGCGATTGAGCTGATGAAGCACGGCAAATGGTATTCATAAAATCAATGGGTGCACTTCAAATGGGTGTAATTCTGCTAATTGTCTTTTTTTTTTCTTTTTTTTTTTCTTCCACAGTGTCCGGGTTGTGATGAGTGTTTCACCACAATAAGACCAAAAACACTACAGTTGTTTCCAGATTTACCACTACATTATGATCAGAAAAATGTTGAGCATCAAGAATTGATTGTGCCTATATGAGCCAAAACCAATGTGATTGTGAAATAAACCTAATCATTTCAGTTTCCATGGCATCTTTGTTTCCAGTTCTTTTGTCTCTGCTTTTTAGTCTACAACACTGTTTGTGGTGACACTTCATGTGATATTAAATAGTATCTAAAGTTTCAGATAGTTTGGTTTACACAGGCCAGACTAATTACATTATTTATACTTTGGTGGAATTAATTTCCCTGCTCTGAACTTCTCATTTCTAAAGACCTAAAAGCTAATTTTGGGGGCAATATCAKGTAAAATCAACACTTTTGAGTTTTATATCATATTATAATGTTTCTTCTCATCGAAAACATGCACAGAGTCTTTGACTCATTCATGTATGTTTGAGAAATCCTATAGTGTTCTGAGGCAACCAGGCAGAGGAGCAAAAACGACGAGTTGGGCCTAGAACCGCCTTTTGGGACCAGCTCCTCCTCTGGGCTGTGTCTCCAAGCTGAGCTTCCTCATCACAGAGCACACACACCCACCCGCCCCAAGCTAAAATGGGCGGGACAGAAGCGGAAGGACGTTCTTAAAGAGACACAGGCCAATTTCAAGGCGTTTAGAAATAGATGTGATGAGAAGTCAAGTTTATTTTCTATTTAAACATATAAACAACATTTTAATAACAACTGAAGGTGACATAGTTACTTTTATTATGGTATAAAATGTAAATATACATCTGAGAAACATAATATTGCCCCTTTAAAAATGGTGACATTTGGATGACACTCCCTAATGGCTGCTTAATTCATTCAAAAGGTGCAGGGCCTGAAACTGATCCTTGAAGAACCCCACATTTAAATGTGTGATGTTTACAATGATAATTACCTGTGTGGAGGATATGTTGTAAAATAGTTTTATTATGAATGCTCAAGCTTTGCAGCACCATATTTAAAAGAAGGAAACATACATTTCACTAAATTGTGTTATTTCCTTTGAGGAATTGTTTTCCACCAGGATAAATTGCAATGACTGGTTTTTGTCAGTGCATGTCACCTGTGAAAAAGGCTGCTCAAGTGCTGAGACCATAAGGGGGCGGAGCTTAGAGCACATGTGGATCAGCACGCTGATGAAAGAAGGGAGAGAAGAAAAGGAAGGAGCCGAGAGTTACTGAACACATTTGTGTAGTTTGAGTTACCGTTTGCAGTTTGTTGTTACCCTTTTATTTTCGATGTGTGTGCG